AAAGATCCATCCTCCAGCTTTTGGTTTAAAAGAAACAACATAGACTCTGAGGTTCCTTCCCCTCTTTGTCGCTTCGTATGGGGAAAGCCTTTGAAAACCCTTTACCGAAACAAACTCGTAACATACTTTGCAAACAATGCCCTTTTTAATGAGCTCATCTATATTGGTAAAGGCAATAAAAATGCAAGTGCCATTACAAACATAAACGCCAGTGTTATTGCTCCCAGCGGACTCCATGTGCGGAACGGTTGGTTTTACTTTAGTTTGGCGAGCCGACTCTGATCACATCTGAAGGCTTGATCTCTCAAGGACAGATGTTGAGATGCGATCGGGTACGGCCGCAGATCAAGCAGGCTGATTGAGAGAGACACATAGGCATGGATTGAATCTCTGAACCATGGATGCCGTACTTAACCCTGAGCAGCGCTGATATGCAAACACAAACCCCTAAACCATGGGGTGCCAGATCTACTGGAAACAGTTCAAAGTGTTCCACCAGTATCCAACGGTGCAAAACACATGACTGAATTTGTCGGCTAAAGTTAAGAGAAAGCGACCACTTCGAACGAACTTTGGAGAGTCTTTCAGGGAGACTTTGAACACTGCAGGAAGAGCTAATTTGATTTTGACAGTGTAGAAATTGAACAAACCTCTCTTAGTATGTCAGCCATATGTTGTCTGCTCGCCAGAGAGCCAAATAACTGTATTCGAACAGTAGGAAGGCCTACACGATGAGAAACGATTTATAGTGTGCACTTTTATGTCTTTGAAAACTTCTCATCTATAATGGATTGCCTTGTTTTACAATAGCAGCATTGTTAACAAGTGTGGTCGCTTTCAATGCTTAAGTCTGTTTTTGGCACCCATAAATAACAATCTTTCTGTTTCCATGCACTGAAATCCTCTCCATATTTTTCATTAGAACAGGATTCAGGGCCATCACCACAGGCTAAGTAAAAAGCTGATTCTTTCGTTCCCTGAGGTGAGACCATGCAAACTGTGGTAGATTCAGTTCGTCTTAGCATAGAAACAGAGATAAATAGTGCTAAATAGCTCTTTATATTTGTAGTATGATGTCTAGTATGCTTAAATCTTAGAGGTCTTGTAGTGTCTTTATGAGCTCATTTGTTCCAGAACTCAAAATCTCTGGGTATATGAAAGTTGTGCATAACACATGTGATTGAATGCAATCATTTTTTTTTTTTTTTTTAAATGATTGCATACATATAATTTGATCAGTTTAAAAGTTTGGGGTACAATTTTTCATGTTTCTGTGCTAAGGCTGCATTATTTGGTCATTATGAGTAAAAAAACAGTAATATTGTGAAATGTTATTTTTAAAATATTTTTATTTTATATTTTCAGCAGCCATTACTCTAGTAATCAGTGTCACATAATTCTTCAGAAATCATATTAAAAAAAATTATGCTCATTTAGTATTATTCAGTTGAAAATAGTTGTGCTGCTTAATATGTTTTATAGAAACTGTTTTATAGAAAAAAAATAATAATAATAATAATTTGAAATACAATTTTTATAGCTATTTAAATGTCTGTACTGTCTTCTTTGCTGATTAAATCCATCCTTTCTAAATTAGTTTATTAAAGTTTATTAAAAAAAAAATACTGAACCCAAACTTTTTTACTGTTGTTGCAGATATAAACAAATAATTATTCATTTGTACATATGTATTTATTTATACACACACACACATACATAGTGCGAGCCAGCATTCAAAACACAGCATATGCTTATGATCAGTTATGCTGGTGTATTATGGTGATATGACTTCAGTAAGTGTGTGTAATGGCTATCAGGAGTGCTAGCATGCCATCTGATGTTTGTTTGTGTCTACAGAGTGAGAGTTCACTGAGATATTTCCTGTCTGGCGGATCAGAAAGATAATGTGTTTTATTTGTTCCAACCGTTACCAGATATACTGGAGAGTTCAGCCTAATGTAGCACGTTCAGCACTTGCATCCAATGCATATCTCAAGCATTTGGTATTCATGTCATGTGCTTGTAATCTTAAAGGCTTCAGTAATGATTTCTTCATACGGCAGGCCTGTGTTCTCACTTGACCTCCATTTGTAATGCGAACAACAAAAAGATGATTTACTGTCCAAGTGAAAGCACACGAGTGAAAAATGAGAAGGAGAAAAGGGAAAGGAAAACATTTGCTGAAACGGTACATTGCCTGTCCCACAGTGGCGTTATAGGGAAATGGACATGCCTGACATGTTTCGGCAAATTCTGCTGCTTTTTTTGGCTCATAATTGGCCAAAAGTTGCCTTTTTCTAATTTTAGCTTTTCCTTCCAAAGTATTAATTACTACTAATATAGTATCACATAGATTTGTCATATGTTTTGTGTACAGGCATTGCCTGTGTATTTCTGGATAAGGGGGGATTTGGGTGGGACTCACTGGAACTTGTATAAATCTTTCTTTCCTGTTTATAAAAATACTGCTGCCTGGTCAACATATTCGGCATTAAAGATGTTTGGACTGCATGGCAACTCGTAAGATTCTTTGACAGCTTTTTAAAATCATATTTTATGCATTATATATATATATATATATATATATATTATAGTATATCAACCAAGTGTCCATTTATTTTAAACAAAAATACACAAACAAAACATCGTAGACGTATTTATTTTATGTGTGTTTAGTGAGGGATAAATATCCAGTTTTAGGGGACTTTATTCAAGCATTTAAATTTTAAGTTTTCTCAACAAGAAAAGTGCACGATTAACAGAACACTTATATACTCAGTCCATGAGTTCTGTATCTCTCTCTTCTGTGATTAGTGTGATAATAGGGTTAGTCACGTGACACTCAGTGGTGTGCAATTATCAACATAAACAGCAACACCCACATCAGCAGTGACATGACGACTGACGTTGGTGCAATTCAAGCGCAGGATATCATAGCGCATGGCACATGGAAAAATAGTTTACATTTTTTCACAGTCTACATAAGAAGTGCCAACCATCATATGTTTTCATATGTCTCTCTCACGCTCTGCTAGATTGAGGCATGATGCCGACACATGTCAGTCATATCTGGACGATATGTGAGTTCCCCCGGGGGGGCGGTAGTGGCGCAGAGGGTGACCCCGACACTTTGAAATCCCTCCTCAGTTTTGTCTGTCTCTCATTATGCGCCTGCTTTCATATTCAGTCCTTTCCCTTTGATTTCCTTTTCATTTCTTTCTCATTTATACTGTTTCTTTCTTTCTTTCTTTCTTTCTTTCTTTCTTTCTTTCTTTCTTTCTTTCTTTCTTTCTTTCTTTCTTTCTTTCTTTCTGTAATCTGATTGTTTTGTCTCATCACTGTTTTTGATTCTCAAATGTTTGTTCTCCTCTTCCTCATCTCTGTTCTTGTTCACGCTTGCTCTGCTCTCTGCATTTTACATGTAAGATTCCGACTGCCTTATTTCACGTTATTGTGTTTCTTATTCTTATTATTTAGTTCTTTGTTAATGTGTACAAGTTCAATGTGACGAGCAATACAGATGAATGAAATCATTCGTTTCCAAGAGCAAAACATTGTTTCATTGACTTTACAGAAACAGAATATATGACCTCATAAACTGGAACGAGCCTCAGTTTTGTTAAGCAACACGGATTTTAATATCTACATGGTTCTTGCACAAAAACATGAATCATAATTTAACAACCACAATGTAATGAAATAGGTATTCACGAGAACTAACAAGTTTACACATTTTCTGCACTTTATATTTTATAATACAATACCTGCACTGGAAAAAATATTGTTGGTTTAACTTAAAAAAGTAAGGAACCTGGTTGCCTTAATTTTAAGTTCATTGAAATGGAAAAAGTGAGTTAATACAATGAAGGAGATTGATTTAATCATCAGAAACTCAAAATTATATGTGAAGGGTTCAGATGCAAAAGCCTCTAAATGCCATTTGAAATTTTCTCCTTTAATGTTGATTTTTATCAAACTTGTATATTTAAGTTCAGTGATTTCACTTAAATGGCAATGATAATTACATATTAATTGTTATTTAAGTGAAATTACTGAACTTAAATATACAAGTTTGATAAAAATCATCATTAAAGAAGAAAATTTCAAATGGCATTTAGAGGCTTTTGCATCTGAACTCTTCATGTTGTCTAAACTAAATTAATTATTTATTTATTTAAGTTGATTTGACAAAAGAGAAAATGTTGTGATTACTAATCATGTAAAGATTTTTTTTTTTTTTTTTTTACAGTGAATTGCATTTTTAACCCAAATTTGGGTTTGTCCAAATTTGGGTTCAAACCCATCATTTTGTTTATAGTGTACCTTAGGCAACTCACTGTAAAAAAATCTTTTCATGATTTTTTCATGACTTTTGTCAAATCAACTTAAATAATTAATTTAGTTCAGATAACATATATAATTTTGCATTTCTGATGATTAATCATTTTCCTTCATTGTATTAACTCACTTTTCCATTTCAATGAACTTGAAATTTTAAGGCAACCAGGTTACTTACTTTTTTAAGTTAAACCAACAATATTTTTTTACATTGTGTTTTTAGATTTATGTAATCTGGTTTGAAAAGTCTGAAAAAAAGAGAATGATATTTTTTCGGAGGTATATAAATATTCACTTTTTAGTGTGCAGAAACAATCTTCTACTCACATGCTCTACATTTCTATATCATTCAAAAATGTGAATGTTTATGGAAGGGGGACACAAAGGAGATTAAATGTAAATAAAATACAGATTTGTTCCCCCCCAAGAAAGTATTGTTTAATTTATTTTCTTCCTTCTCTGTGTAGAAGGACATATTAATCAGATTTATGCCTCCGTAAATGAACTTTTTAAACACTGTATATTTCTATAGCTCAACAGAAACTTTCACTGTGATTTATTGTAGACCTGGAATACATTAACACTCAATCCAAAGCTGAAAGTAAACTACAGGAAGAGAGAGAGAGAGAGAAATGTTAACAGAATTTGGTTCTCCTCTTTAGAACCCCAAATTCCAGGAACCTGTTACACTGGATTTTCTCGATGCAGAGCTGGAAAATGATATTAAAGTCCAGGTATTGCATAACACACACATACAAACACACAATAACATGATCTCACCATTATTATTTTATTGCTATATTGATGAAACACCTGCAAGGTTTTTATTCAGTGTGCAAACTCTTGCATTATGGTGTGTCAGTACTTATAAATGTGCTGATTTGTAAGTTGTGATAGAATAGAATAGAATAGAATAGAATAGAATAGAATAGAATAGAATAGAATAGAATAGAATAGAATGGAATGGATGTCTGAGTTTCTTGAAGAACTGTTTAAACCATTTAATTTACAAAACGTGCTGAAAAGCCCCTTTTGCTCATGGGATGCATATTTAGCATAGATAGTAAGGATTTATGTGAGTAGTTGACATTAAGTCTGACCACACAAGTCAAGGAACATTTATTTTGTTGCACAAAATGAAATGTAATTGCAGATGAAAATATACCTTAGTATTCAATGAGCTCAAGGAAATATGTTACAGTAATTTCTTTACTAAAATGCTCCAACATTTTTGATGTTATCATAGTTTTTGGATACTATTATGGTAGTAAATTGGCAATGGTAGACACCTCTGTGATTCAACGTATCTTTAAATTTACCATGTAAATACCGGAGTATATGAATATGGTGTTGATATATTAACACTGATCTTCTGATCTCTCTCAGATACGGACTTTGATGATTGACAGAGACCCTGGGGAGAAAACGATCGAAACGCTTGTAAAATCTCAAGATGAGGTGTGTAGATCTTCTATAATTATTCGTCTGTACCATATTTGGTCCATATTTGGTTCAGTTATAACTTTCGTTCCAATATCAGAGATACATTGATCGAGGAATCAGGACATACACCTGGGCACCAGTTAACGGGACAGATTACAGGTTTGAAGTCTGAGTTATGGCATTACCACTGCAAAGTGTTTCCTAACTCCCATATGTATTTGTATGTATAAAACACGTTGTCTTTTTATTCTCTGTGTGGGTGTTCTGCAGCCTGGCCTTGGTCTTGCCTGAATACAGTCTGCATTACATCGAGGCAAACCTGGGGAACACCATAAAACAAGCCATGTGTGAGTACCGCCTGTTCGCCCAGAACATACAAACCTGCTCCCCACGTTGAGCAAACACACTATCATTTATTAAAAAGATCAGATAGAGCCTTCGGTATGCAAAGCTATTGTTTTATGAAATAGCTGAGACCGCTTGCAAATATTTTTCATCGGCTCGCGAGAGAGATCTGCCTGTTTGTGTGTGTGTGTGAGAGTGTGACCTCGATTGTCAGGGCTGATCTCTGTATTAAACTGAGGTCCAGCTGGTCTCCACCCATCCTGAGCAGTGTAGCCAGACGTTTGATCTGACTCTCCCTAGTACACAGGGGCCCCGGCTGGGAAGAGAGACTGCTAACGCTCCCTCCCCTCTGGACATGTGCTGTTGAGGTCCAGATCTGCACACATACACAGACGCTCAGCTCATTTAGAGGAATATTCCAGGTTAAGCTCTATTGATAGCATGTGGCTTGCTGTCAATTTGGCAGAAAAAAAATGACTTCAGCTTGTACCTCGTTGCCCCATAGACTTTTATTTCTGTATCGTTTTTTTGTTTGCTTTTATAAACCCAGGTACACGTCAAACTTATTTCCAGTGGTAATTGACAGATGCTGTCGATAAAGCTTAACTTGTACTTAAGCCAGAACATTTCCTTTTAGGAATAGTTCACCCAGAAATGAAAATTGCCATTATTTACTGACTCTTGTGTGGTTCCAAACCTGCATTCTGTTATTTTTCTGGAAAACATAAAAGGAGAAGATTTATGTTGCTCCTTTTTATATAACAAAAGTTCATAGTTTAAAAAGAAAAAAATAATTATACTAGTATATGCAGTCTATATGGTTCCTGCCTGTCTTTTGAAGCCTTATGAACAGACCAGAGTCATTATGGTCATGCTAATCAGTGATGTGAATTCGAGAACCAGATCAGTCTGGTTCTTAAACTGGTTCATGAAAAGAACCGGATCAAAAGAAAGATTTGTTTCCGATTCAGATGAAAAATGTCAGAATGTTGAATAAATAATGAAATGTTTTGCCCCTTCTTTGGGTGAACTATTTATTTAAAACAATGAAGATAAACAATCATGCACACACACATTTATTCTTCGTAAGTGGACATGTGCAAAACTAAGTTTTTCTGTGATCTCTCCTTTCTGTCTTTCAATCTTTAAATGACAGCACAATGGGGCAAGTACTATCTCTCTGTCTGTCTTTTAAAGTTCTGTCACTGTACGTTCTCTGGATTTTACCCCGTGTTATTGAAATTATTTACATTTATTTAAGCATGAGTTTAAGTTTGAGTTCTATGCTTAATGCTTTTGTTTGTTTGAGTTGCCTCATTTTTTTAACGCATGGTCTGTGCAAAATCAGTCAATTAATTGCTGACAGTGTTTGGTGCTTGTCTAAACATGCATGCACAGTTAGATATATGTTTAAAAAAGATGTCCAAATAAAAGATTTCAATTTTTATTATCCATGCAAATATAAACCAGCACTAATTGCTAGGGTATTCTTGTTGACTTCCAGAATTTTGCTTTGTGGTTGTTAAGTTGTTCTGAGCAGTGTTGTTTTTACTATTATAGTGTCTATTATATATATATATATATATATATATATATATATATATATATACATATATATATATATATATATATATATATATATATATATATATATATTAAACCTCATTTTAATTTAAGGTTTAGTCATTTTTGTTGTGTGCTTTTGTAATTTTGATAAAAAAAAATTTTAGTTCTACTTAGCTTTATTTTTTTTTTCATTTATATCTAGTTATTTTAGTATTTCAACTTATTTCAGTTAATTGTCAATTAAAGTCCCCATGAAATCAAAATTGACCATACTTACTTTGTTTGCCTAAATTGATCGTTTTGTGGTGAACAATTCATACATGCAAGTCAATCCACACACAAAAAAAATTTGGCTTCGTAATCTTTAATCAAATTTTGAAAATGCCCCTCTGCTTTGGAGGACTTTGCCCGATGACGTAGGCTTTACGGTTTGGGTGTCTCCTTAACATCCATAACCACGCCCCTCCAACTGTGTGTTTGCGAGCGCCGAGCGAGCATTGATTGACAGCGTGTGTAAACTTGCGTCATCCTCTATTTCAGAATGAAACACCCATTTTTCTAGATCCAATCAGGTGCTAGTTGGAAAAAAAGCCATGCCCACTATTTTGCCTCATTTAGTATTCCGTTTCTCTCAGAAATACGTCACAACACTGGAGAAAAGTCGTTTGCAACTTCTCGTTCACGGGGACTTTAACATTTATACTTTTCATTTACTTTTAAGTATTTTAAGTTTACATTTTACTCTAATAATTATATTTTCTTTTATTTCAGCTTTATTTTAATTACCAAGATTTATTTTTTTTGTTTTACCTAACTCTTTCCCTGTTATTTACAGAATTTTCACAATCCATATTTTCACTTTTATATGGTATGGTGTGCTATAATGCATCGTCTGAAAGAGTACAGAATATCCGAATCAAAACACAGGCCAAGAAGAAGCATAAATATGGAACAGAAGCATTGCTTATGTAAATGTAAAATGATGCATTCATCAAACGTTAAACAGCATGTAAATCATGTTTGATGTTGCCAAATTAAATGTCGACACAGGGTGCGATATAGGACTGTTTAAGCTTTGGGGGTGTTGATGGACTCGATCTACTCCATTTATGTTTTGATCATTGCTCTGAATTGTTTCTTTTCTTAATAAAGTAGAGGCTCTGTTCTTTCTTTTGATATAATGTATATTCATACAACAAAATATTCTGGGGGCCATGGCATTTTTTGTGACATTTCACACTGTCAGTTTTTGGGAATGACAACTGCATTTACTTTTAGGTATAAGTCCTGAAATGTCCCGTTCACACAGCAACTTGCAGTAGCGTCTTGAATATTGTCTATATGAACATGCAACAAGAGTCAAGTCTGTATTCTCTAACCAGTAACCAAAGCAATATCAAACATTGTGACTTTCATAAGTCTTATAACATTTAACATAACAAGAGTCCAAGGCTTCCATTACGCAATACACAGTAGACATGCGTTTGTGCATCGGTTGTCACTCCTGTAAATAACCAAACTGTGTGTGAATGTAACCGTATTAAGGACTAAACTACAGGACAACCGTATTCTGCTGTCTTGTGAAGTTGGTCAATAACAACATTAGTTGAGTGGTTCTCACTGTAGCTTGTTGATATGCGGTTGCTCAGCCTTTTCTCATCCCAAGACGTCATCTAACTGACGCTTTTGACCATACGTCAACATCCGACGTTTTAGGGCACCCTTTAACGTCAGTTAGATGACGCTATCTAACCCTAACCATACCCCAGACCTAAACCCACGTCATCTAACTGATGCTAAAGGTAAAGATGACGTCTTGGGATGAGAATGTGTTGGGTTGCTGGGTGGTTTCCAGGGCCTTTCTATACATTACAATGGTGTGCAAAGTAGTTACTAGTCATTGCTAAATTGTTGTTAAGGTGAACTTGGGTGGTTACTGACCCAATTAAAAAGACCCCACCAAAACGTCTCTATGATATTCCGTTCCCTAGATATGGCACAGGTCCCTCCTTTGATTTATATAGATAATCACAAGCCCAATTTCTTTGAAAAGTAATTGCACACCTCTCCTCAACAAGCCTTAAGATTTGATGTATCATTCAGGTCTGTGGCGCTAAGGATTGTGAGATGAATTATGAGTTTTATTCTTGCAACACTGCACAGGGGCCGTGTAGAAGGATCATACTAGAATGCAGAGCTCTGAGCCAGAAAAATTTTTCTCCTTCTCACTGTTCATCACCGTCATTATTTTAGCATAACAGTGCTTTGTAAGATCACATAGCTTTAACTTTAGTCATTACAAGCAAGAAAGCCAGCAAAGGAAATTTAAGCTTGTGAACCAATGAGTAAAGCAGGTTTGGAAGACTGGAAGGGGCCACAGAAGGTCATATTGTGGCTTGTAAGCAGTAGCGTTCAGCTACTTAATGCAAGTTATAATTGTTCATCTAATTTATTACGTGTTTGTGTGTTAATGTGCTAAAACTGCATTTCTGTCTTCTGGAGTGTGCTACCGCAGATATGGGTATCTCTTTATCTCTCTACTTCCCTATGTTCCCTTTCTCTCCATTTCTTGTTGTAAAGGATCCTGGCACAGGTTTATAGGCTCGTAAAGAGGCAGGTCCATATGGTTATTGAGAAAGGGGAAAGAGGCAGCGGTGCAGAGGTTAGGTCTTTGTGGTGGTCTTCAGAGTGCTCCTGGATACCTTAGAAGCCCAATTCCACGGTTTGGGAGCTCCACGGGGCTTGTTTGACCAAAGCCGAAAGCCGAATGTAAACTTCAGACAGGCAGAACGAGAGAAGTGTGGCTTTTGGGAGCCATGTAGAGCAAATAATGAGAAGAACAGGTGAACGCTGAGTTCTCTCGAGGGACATGTCCTTATGGCTGGCTGTAACCAAAAACTGTGATGATGCACTTGGCTGCTTGGACCGCAAACCCTCGACTAGATTGGATCTTACATGTTCTGGTTGTTTAGGCTTGATTTGCCTCATTGTGTTTGTCACCAAGTACCCAGAAAGTGTTTGTTGGAGATCAGAGTTGCGTTAGTTTGAAAAGAGAATAATCTGAAATGGTGTGAATTATATTGACAGCAAATTCAGTGCAGATGTGAAGTCTTTAAGTTATTGACACATTGACCGAAGCTTCAAACACCCATTTGTACACAAACAAGGGTATAACACCACCCTGTTTTGACACATATACAGAGACCATATTATTATGTGGGCCTAGCAGATAAAAGATAAAAGCCATCAAAATAGTTGAACATTAGGATTGTTGGAAGAGGAGAATTTGGTCCAAAATTGGCCTGCTTTATCAGTCAAAAGAGCCTACCATCAAAGGTCTGTGATATTCTGGAATCTAGATAAATAAAATGAAACAAAATAGGGTTCTTCAAATTTGGCCCTGGAATCTTTATTCTCACTGTCCCACAGAATTTAGCTCCAACCCAAATCAAACTCACCTGCCTATAATAACTTTCTAACAATCACGAAGACCTTTATTTGCTTGTTTGGGTGTTTTTAATTAGGGTTGGATTTAAACTGCATGATGGTGGACCTCCAGGGCCAGATTTGATGAACACTGGGGAAAAAAAAGAAAAGAAAATAGTCCTGGCTCTAAAATTCCATTAAATGAGCCTTATTTGAAGCTGTTTTAAATTAGCCAGAATATATGTAGTACATTCAGTAATGCATGGCATCTCATTGCTTTAGTTAGTGAAAGTATGTAAATTGGAACTACCACTATTGGAATTATACTTATTCTTTTGATTCATAATCATATTCAAACTTTCTGAACAATTGCCTCAAACATTAGCCAGGAACACAATGTTGTGGACACAAACGGCCATCAATTCTCAATAATACAATTAAATACATCTGAATATTTTGAGCTACTGTCTTAAGTTGCCTACAGTAGCTTATTTGTTTATATGATTTTATTACATTCACAGTCAATTTTCAATGTTCTAACAAAAAATATTGTTAACCCTTTGTTTGGCTTGGTAAATGGGCAGTCCGGAAGTTTCTAGACATAGCAACGTCTGTATGATGAGATGGTCTGGTTCTGTTTTGGTTTGTGAGGTAATTTCCTGGCTGATTGCTTGTGTACCTTTGATGAACAAAGAGAGTTTGATGTGACTTCACCAAACACTGGCTGACCTTTTTTTTCTGATCGTGAAAACTGTCAAGTCAAGTCAAGTCACATTTATTTATATAGCGCTTTTCACAATACAGATTGTATCAAAGCAGCTTCACAGTGATAACATGTAAGTAGCACAACACAGATCAACAACATTGCTAAACACTAAATAAATAACCCCAACTGAGCAAGCTCAAAGCAAGCCAAAAGCAAGGCGACAGTGGCAAGGAACCAAAACTCCATCAGATTGGATGGAGAAAAAACCTTGGGAGAACCCAGGCTCAGTCGGGGGCCAGTTCTCCTCTGGCTTACATTCATATTGTTTAAATATAAATATTAAATATAAATTTAATATTTGGTATATTTAATATTTAATATTTGGAATACTGCATGCCAATTTGTTCAACCATCATGTCATTTGATGTTTTCATCAAGCATCAGAATTATTTTACCATGCCTGCCAAACTGTCCACTCACTCCTCTCGTAACTCTCTGTGTTGAATGGAAATGACTGTCTGCATCCATTTCTTCACGACTATAATCTCAAACTCGCGCCTTTGTTGTGTGTCCAGGCTTTGGCTTAATCTAAAACCGCCATTGTCACCATGTGCATGTTTTATATGAAATTCTGTTTTCAGAGTATCCAGTTTACAATGTTGGATATCTTTTAGGACTGTGATGGACTGTGGTAACTTTGTCTTTCTCTTTGTCTTTTGATTGTTTGGATTTTCACCACAGGGAACAAGGGCAAGTACTGCACCCTCCTCTTCTAAGATCTTCACGTTTTATTACATTCTTCAGTTATTGTACCATTTTACTTTCAAAGTCATTTGCATGCATCTTTTCCTGTTTTTTTTCCAGAGCAGTCATGTCACATCTATATATGTGAAATTAAAATAATCTGTTACTTCTCATGAGTGCATTTCAAATCAGTTTTTTAATCTATAAACATTTGCATGTTGTTTATTGTATTTTTTTTTTCAGTTTCTCCTGTAACATTTGTTCTGTCCAATCAACTGACATGGGTTTTTGTAATAGCCAATGCTAATACAGATAACGTCTCAGGTTACGACAGTAACCTATGTTCCCTGAGAACAGGGAACGAGACACTGCGTCAAATTACGTTTTGGAGATCCTTTCGTCTGAAGGGACTGTTCGGTAGGCAGGCCTCGAAGCATGGCAAGGAGACGCAGTGTCTCTTTCCCTGTTCTCAGGGAATATAGGATACAGACATAACCTGAGGCCTTTTCTTTCGAAAGGTAACTTGCACTCAAAAGTCGAATGACACTTTGGGGAAAAATATAGCCACACCGCCATGCTAAGGGGAGTGAATGCCAAGTAGCAGTGACAACTGTCCGAACCAGCAAATTCAAATGAAATGCTAGAACCACTCACCCACAGGTAACACTGGACTGTCGATGACAGCATTCCCTATGGTCATAGTCCAAGCTATTAGCCTCACAGGAAAACCTACGTAAACATGGTTAAATGAAATGCCTACCTGGGCCTGCTCAAAGGCCTAGGACCACAACTTCAATTAGAAGGGGTCCTTTCTAAGGAATGTGGCTAGGGAATCCGACGGAACCCCTGCCAATCACTATTCAGGGGAACATACTCACCCCGAAATGCCACAAAGACGGCCTGACCTGGCATCAGTTACATACACACTTAGTCTGGCCACTTCCTGTCTGTCCGAAGACAGAGCCTCTGGACACTTGCCTTTAGGTAAGACATCCAACCTGAGGGACTGCGAAGCTGGCAGTGAACCACTGAGCCCGGATCTCAGAGACGGGGTATCCAGGAGAGTATGACTTAGCAGGATCTACCCAGTGTTTGTGTTTCAAAACACTAAGGAGACCTGTGAGGGCTTAAGGGCTGCTCTAACTGGAAGGCGAGAGGCCTATGACCTTTTGACCTGACTCAGGAATCCATGTGCTCATATTGACCCTCGCTGAGGGGAGCACATGGTCCACCTGGTAGGTAAACCAGGCTGTAGGCAGGAAAGAGGTTCCGGGAGGGAAACAGTAGCAGAGAATGAACAATTTAGTTGAGCCAGGACGCAAGTTCGCCTTCAGCAGCTGCCTGATAAGGGAGGCTTGGTGGGGCCTGCTACCTGATAAACACAACCTGAGGGAAATCACCTTCCGTGAGGTATATTGCCCGATAGTAAGTCAGGCTAGCTTTCCAGTTTCCTATCCTTGGGCTTGCCTCCAGGAAGGCCTGGTAAGGCCTACAACCTGACAGCCACAGTATCTAGGAGCTCACATTCAGGGAGGCCTGGTGAGGCCTACTACCTGTGAGTCACAGCATGTGGGAACTCAACTTTAGGGAGGCCCAGTGAGGCCAGCTATCCGATAGTAAGTCAGGCTAGCTGTCCATTTGCCTGTCCTTGGGCTTGCAAGCAGGGAGGCCTGGTAAGGCCTACTACCTGACCAACACAGTATGTGGGGAACTTACCTTCAGGGGTCTACTACCATCTCAAGTGTGAATTCACCTTCAGGGAGGCCATGATGTTGGGACCACACCTCAGAGGAGGCCTGTCTAAGGCCTACTACCCATCAGTGATTCAACTGTCCAAACCACCAAGGTCAACCATGTTTTTTGAAGTAAGCTGCCCTACAGTGCCCTCCTGGGGGCTGCCCATTCAAGGAGGCCTGCTGAGGCCTAATACCTAAAGGTGCAGCCTTTGTTGGCAGATAAGCTGTTTGCACAGTGCCTTCAGCATCCTGGTGCCTAATCACATTGCTCATGGCAGTGTACTCAATAAGAGAGCTTGTAACCTTAAAACTAGGGGAGTACAACATACATCACTCTGCTTCAACGGAGACCCCAGAGTCAGGGGCCTACCATCTGTATGCATAGGCTTAAGCTAATGGCAATGCTCTGGCTTCAAGGGAGCGTACTTCTACAAAAGAAGTAGTGAAGCTAGAACTTCCTGCACAACCCGTACCATAGTAGTGCGAGGTAGGATGATACAGAACAGAAAGTAAAGTACTCAGACCAACTCTGTATTATAGGGGAATACTGCCACCTCACCCTGAGGTTTACCAGGGTGCGGGCCTGTCAATGGCTCTAGGGGTGACAGAAAATGTATCTGTGCAAAACCTAGGGGAGTGGGGCTTGTTTGTGAGCCAAACCACCTACAACCCAACACCCGAGCAGTAGCTCAGCGAGGTAAGTGAAGCCTACACTGGCAGCCCAGATCCATATGCTAGTTCTGCACGGCAGGGTCCGGCAGACAGCCTAGTCTCTTCGTGTGGCGAAAGACAGCCTAACCCTACTCAATAAAGACACATTGAACCAGGGAGGCCTATTTGAGGCCTAATTGAAGATCTTTATGAACCATGCCTCTGCACCACACTGCAATACTCTTGTTACCCCAGAATGTGATTGATTGACGTAATTTGTCATTTGATCAGACGTCATTTGATGCAGTGCGAGTTCAATTTCGAAAGGGAACTGGAGATTGGCATGGTGGATATAATTCTGAAATATATATTTGATTTCCCTCCAAAAAACTTAAACCAGCCTACATTGTTTTTTGATGGTCTTTGGGGGTCTCCAAGGCTGGTCTGTTGACTCGTTTTTGAGGATTTTTTGTTTTTTTTTTAGCTTTGGATGCCAGCTGCAGACCAGTTTGCCCATGCTGCAAAACCATCTAAACCAGCATTTTATGCATGTATTAAAATGAAATTAACATTTTGTTATGTCATATTAACTTAAATTTCACTTTTCTTGTCCATGCCAGTCTAATCTCAGAATGGCCACATATTGGCTGATATATTGGTCTATCTCTATAGGACATTTTATAGTTTGGCATATTTTAATATGATCTGTCTAAACACATATATTTTTCTGTTTCTCTGTGTAGTCTCTGAGACCATGCAGCAGGAGAAATTTGAGGAATATGGGTATACCTTTATTGCACCCAGGTAACACACACACATCTATATACACACTAAGCAAAAATAGCAGACCTCCAGGGTTTAGTCGTGACAGGTTTATAAGGCTTGTATCTAGACTCCATTGGTCTTTGAAGGCCTGTAAATTCACACCTTCGGACCCACACATTACTCCCCTTAACAATGGGTCCCACAGACACTGCAGGAGCAAAAATGTTTTGGTCTCAACTTCACACTACTTAAATGTACAGGCCTCATTGTGTTCATCAAACTTGTGCTTTTTATGTAAACATTTATTAAACTTTTTTTCAGGGAATACTGCAAGGACCTAAAAGTGACATCCAACAACACCCAGTTCCTGATGGACTTCAATGAGTACATTGACAGAACAACACCAAATGATCCCATGTGTGAGTCTATCTGTCTGTCTGTCTATCTATCTATCTATCTATCTATCTATCTATCTATCTATCTATCTATCTATCTATCTATCTATCTATCTATCTATCTTTCTATCTTTCTATCTATCTATCTACCTGTCTGTCTGTCTGTCTGTCTGTTTTTCTGTCTGTCTGTCTGTCTGTCTGTCTGTCTGTCTGTATGTCTGTCTGTCTGTCTGTCTGTCTGTCTGTCTGTCTGTCTGTCTGTCTATCTATCTATAGCAAAATTAGTATACAGTACATAGTATTTTGTACACATAGTGTAGTGCAGTTCTATATAAATGTTCAATTAAAATGAACATATAAACACCCTCAGTGAACTCTCATTGGTTCAAAGTTAAGTGTTTTCGGAGTCTTTTTTTTTTTTTTTTTTTTTTTTTTTTTTTGCAGTGACTTCAAACCAACTGCAATCGAACTAACTGGATATTTTAAATAATGCAAAGACAGCTAAGTTTCAAATACTCTCTGGGACCGCTGTACCTTTTGCTTGTATAAACCACTGCTGTCATTATTAATGTAATGATATCAGAGGTGAGAGGACTCAGATTACTCTCTTTTAGGCACTGAGTCAGATTGATTCCCGCTCAAGTGATGTCAGCGTGTGTGGCGGGCGGTCCCACTGTCTGTGAAGGTGACCCCTGTCAGCACTCTGTTTAATCTGCCTGTAATTGATTAGTCTGCTCAGTAATGACTCCACCGCTGTCATCCTAATGTTCATACTCGTGACTCACTGTGTTTTCTGTAAAGAGATGCTATCACTGCAGCGCTCACACGCAAAGTACACAAATATGTTAGTTAGCTTTTTGATTACTCAGATAGGCATTACTTTTGTCCTGAAAAGTATTCAGCAATGTTCATGTCACCAAACTGTTGCTTTTATATTTAAAGGTCCATATCATGTATTATATATATATATATATATATATATATATATATATATATATATAAAAGTCCTCATAATGCCTTTTGCATTCTGGTTACCCAAAAAAAAAAAAAAAATGGGTAACCAGAGGGAGAGCGCTGAGAAATGTGACACCTACAAGACTTTGCAAAGAATGAGTGAAGACAGGACTTAAATAGGCTGACATTAACAAGATAATGAGAGACAGGTGGATGGAAGCAATCAAACATAATATGTCCTGGTGGCAATGGGTTATGGGAAATGCAGTTCATGATGGTAAAGCAAATGAGATGGGAGGAGTGCCCTCTGGTGGAGATCATGGGCACTCAAGCTGGCGAATGCAACATACTGTATATCCACTTGACTAGACTGACAAACAATTTATGTTTTAAATTTTGTAGTGAATTTTGAAAAAAAATATCTGGTAGAGCATAATTTAATTTCAACAATTTGTTTAAATCTGTATCAGCCTCTGACAAGCTCAAGTCAGTCAACTAGTAGACCATATTCTGGGACAATGAAGTTTGAACAAGGAGACTCCTGTTTTCCATGACATAATCCAAAACTATATCAACTATAAAGACTTTCCTTTCTCTCTGTCTGTATTTGTCAGGTAACGTTAGTCTTGTAAACCGGTTGCTGCTGGATGCCGGTCTCACGGCGGATCTCGTCAAAGTCTGGAAGGAGCAGAGTGTGTAAGTTTTGGACCAAACAAACACATGGAACAACATAAAACACTCATCCATGTTTGTGTGAAATGTCTCGAGATTTCAAGTACAAAGATCTCCAGAGAAGACCGAGAGACGCCTTCATATTACTGCTGAACACAAGCTCTATTTAAAGTCATGACATGAATAAGAATGCTGTCTTAATGTCAAAAGCAAACACGAGAGTCTAGCAATTATAACCAGGATTAAAGAATCCGACCATCTGGGAGTCCAAAAACACAACAGACATTGCATATGTCAAAATAGTGTTTTCAATTAAACAAATTGTGTTTCAATATATTTGTTTGCGCTAAAGAATGACCTAAATATAACATTGTTCTCTTTTTGTTCAAATAGGAGGCTGATTATGTTGTTTGATTGTAATGTCATTGAAGTAATTGAATTTAACACTATAAATACCTGAATAAAACATTCACAGGTAGTCTATTTATGGTCTTTCAGAAAATTCTAAACTAAATTATTGCTAATTTTTTTATTTTTTTTTCTATTAGAGATGGAGTTTTGGCCCGGTTTGTGACTACAGATGGAGGCATTACACGTGTGTATCCTAAAAGGTAAGTTCCATTCACCGTTATGTGAAATATCTGCATCTCTCCATCCCCATGTGTGCATGTGTGTGTGTGAGATGCTAAATTCTTTACAATCTTTCCTCTGTCGGCAATCCCCGCAGGGGTCTGCGGTTGAGACCGAAAGAAAGAGTGAAAAGGCATGTTTCAGAGGATGTTTCTGGTACAGAGGGACTCTTTTGAGATTTCTTATGGGAGCCATGTGCAGCTCCTACTCTCTCTCCTGTCTTTATTAGCTTAAATCTATAACATTGAGTGCTTGAGTTCATAAACTTCGTCTGGAGGTGTAAAACAGCAGGCCAGTGTTAAAGAAGCTACAGCAGTGCATTATTCACAGTTCATATTTACTCAACTCAAAGCACAAAAGACAAAAGTCTTTTTTTGGAGCTTCACAGCACCAATTACTGCTAATCATATTATTTTGAATTTCTTGAGGGAAAAATACATTTTATTTTGATTTTCATGTCTGAGATTTTTCAGTTTTCAATTAACTGTTGTTTTATTTTATTTTATTTTATTTAAAAAAAAAGTATTTGCGCAATTCCTTGATATGCTGTATTTTTAATGCTTATAGTAGAGATTAATGTCAACACATTGCTTCATTTATTACTTTACCCTAGAATCCATAGTTTCATTGACTTGATATGTTTTATTTATAATTGATCTATTATTTTTTATTAAAAAATATATATTTTTTTTTTCTTTAAAAAAAATAAATAAATAATGCCTTTCTAATGCACATTAGTTATTCCTAATGCACGTTAGTTCATTCCTAATACACGTTAGTTATAATTCGTTATATTGAATTTATTTATTTTACATGGGAATTGAAACAAACACATTCAAGTCAACTTTTAAAAATATTTTTAATCTTTTATTGTTTATGATTTTATTACACCGACTATAAGGATAATAACAGAATGCCTTTTATTAAAAACCATTAAATCCACTACAAGTGATTCACTTTATCATACGTCAACATCCACCTTTTTAGTACCCTTAAATGTCGGTTAGATGACGTTATCGGATCCTAACCCTACCCCAGACCTAAACCTACCCCTAAACCCACCCCGTCACCTAACCAACGTTAAAGGTAAACCGTCACTTGTATGACGGCCCGGGATCGTCATGTAACCGACGTTTAAAGGTAACCTAAAAAGGCGGATGTTGACGTATGGTCAAAAGACGTCCCAAGACGTCAGTTATATGACTTCTTGGGATGAGACTGTGTTATACATATTGCTATTGTTCATTATTGAAATGATTGATTCTGCATTTTGTTTGAAATGTTTCTGAATTTGGGTCTTCCTCTTGCCTTCGTCTCTTTTTCAGTGCTGGGGAAGAATGGGGTGAAAACTCTGAGACCTATGACTCAAGTTTTTACAAAAGGAATCTGGACAATGACATCTACATCTTCACTGCCCCATACATCAACAGTAAGAAACACACACACACTTACAGCACACGTCCACTCTATAACTTTTAGAGAGATGCATGCTCTCTTTGGCACTCTGCTTTACTAAGACAGCTGTTGATCTACTCGAAATGCGCACCTACAGATCTCTTGCCAAGGTCGAGTAAGTTTATATTACTGGGGGATTACCATTCAATGAGACTACCTCACATTCACGCACGTGTGGTCTGCAGGACTAATACACACACGGCCAAGAAGCACCCATGCGCCAAGAAACAACCCCAGGGGAACGCCTGGTCCTTGTGTTTATGGGAGGTTTTACCATTTAAGCTAATGGTGAAAGCAGACTGAACCCCTTACAGTTCTCTCTCAAACATTTTGGGTATCAGTTGTTGCATGTCTACCTTGGCAGGTGTTACCAGATGAATTGCATCAACAGCATTTAGATACTAAAACATTGCTTGTTCGGATTAGTTAAATGAAGCAGAGAGTCAGTCCAACCTTTTTAGTAAATGCAATTTATTGTTCTGCATTTGTGTCATCTTTTCCCTTGAAAAAGAGAGCAGAGAGTCTGGTTATGAGTCTGGTATCCTTGTCAGTAAAGCAGTGGACTTGGACATTAATGGAGCAAAACTCAAACCTGCTGGTGAGCTCTTAAAATTCAGTTGCACTACTGGTCAGAAGTTTGCAGTCAGTATGATTGATTAATGAATGAATGAATACTTTTATTCAACAAGGATGTGTTAAAATGGTCAAACGTGAATTATTTCTATTTCAAATAGATGCTGTTGTTTTGACCTTTTTTATTCATCAAAGAATCCTGATTTTTTTTTTCAGTTTTCACCAAAATATTTAGCAGCACAACAGTTTTCAACATTTATAATAATAATAAGAAGAAATGTTTCTTTAGCAGCAAATCAGCATATTAGAAAGATTACTGAAGACTGGTGTAATGATGCTGACAATTCACAGGAATTAATTGCATTTTGACATTTAACTAAATAGAAAACACTTTTTTAAATTCTAATAATATCTCACAATATTACTATTTTACTGTATTTTTTTTTTTACCAAATAAATGCAGCCTTGGTAAGCATAAATCAATTTAATATACAGTAATGTGAATAAGTTTGGACACCCATGTTAAAGTTGCCTAAAAAGAGGAATGAAAAAAATAATCTTTTGGAAATTTATCTTAATGCCTTTATTGGAAAAATGAGGAAAAATACAACCTTTAAGGACATCAAATTTCTTTGTGTATGAATAATGTATCATAAATAAGTGTTGTTCTTTAAATTGTCTGAATTAAAGAACACTAATTTATTTATGATACATTATTTATTCACAAAGCAAATTTGTGTCCTTTAAAGGTTGGATTTTTCCTCATTTTTTTTTTTTTTTTTTAAATGAAGGCATTAAAGGAACACTCCGACTTTTTGGGACTTTAGCCTATTCACCTTACCCCCCAGAGTTAGATAAGTCCATACATACCTTTTTCATCTCCGTGCGTGCTATAAGTCTGTTTGACGCACCCACCGCTAGCTTAGCTTAGCACAAAGACTCGATGTGACTGGTTGCAGCTTTCATACTGATCCAAATGAGTGGCAAAATAACGCAAACGTTTTCCTATTTACATGTTGTGATTTGTATAGTCACATAATGTACAAATAACAAAGTCAAATGAGACACAGACATCTTTTAACCGTATAAAACCTGGGAACTATTCTCTGAAGGCGAAGCACTGCTACTTTGACGGCGTAATAACCGCATCACCGGAGACACGCCGTGGTGAGGAGCGGAGAGTTCGCTCGGTGTTTGGGTAATAGAGTCAGCGATTTATAAATAGTAAAAGCGTAGTTTAGAGTCATGGGTTTTCGCTCTATTGTAAATAGCTGCGACTGTAAACAGGGGAGGTAATACCATGTTTCACAGAATTCCAACTAAAAACGCTGACTGGATGAAGGCTAACTTACTCTGGATATTTATCCAAACACACCTAAGATTATCAAGGGACATTATGTTTGCTCGGTACATTTCAATGAGGACGACTATTTTGAAAAAATGGAATTTGCCACACGGACCATAATGTGCTGAAGGATACGGCCATCCCATCGATAGCACAGACAGGACAAGTGGATCACCTGCGGCTGAGGTAAGTGTTCCGTTATGTTTTTAGATGACCTACTGTAACAGTGCCATTAGCCAGATCTAATGTAACGTTAGTGACACTATTATATGATTAGGGTATGAATATGTTTTTATCTTGATGCGGTGCGGACGCGCTTGGGAAAAAAAAACGAGCGCGTTTACCGCGTTGAACTTGCACCCTGCGCGCGGCGCGCCTAGTAGCCTAAATTTGAAATAACCATGGAAATAACGAACTTGAGCGTGTAAAAGGGTACGATAGGCTGTGAGTTCATTGTGCAAAAACAATTTGTGCTATTACTTTCCCCTTATTCTATCCTATAGTAATGCAATACTGTATATTATATAGGCTACTGTTAAATACATTTGGTTCATTTGGTTAAATTGCATTTAAAATATATTGATTCCTGTAATAATAATTATTTATTCATGTGATATTTATAAATCTGGGTGCGTTTTTGGTTGGAAATCAATGAAAAATGGTACTGTATTACCTGGTCTCCCCTGTTTATTGTCACAGCTCATACAATAAAGCAAACACCCATGATAAACTATGCTTTTCTATCTAACGTTAGTAATTGCTGACTCTTTATTCCAACGCTGAGCGAAGCGAACTCTCTGCTCCTCGTCACGGTGCGTCTCAGGTGATTGTTATCACTCTGCCCAAGTAGCAGTGCTTCGCCTTCAGAAAATATAGTATTTATACGGTCAAAAGATGTCTGTGTCTCATATGGCCTTGATATTTGCACACTCTGTGACTATACAAACCACAACATGTAAATAGGAAAACGTTTGCGTTATTTTGTCACTCATTTGGATTAGTATGAAAGCTGCAACCATTCACATCCAGTCTTTGTGCTAAGCTAGGCTAGCGGTGGGTGCGTCAAACAGACTTATAGCACGCACGGAGATGAAAAAGGTATGTATGGACTTATCTAACTCTGGGGGGTAAGGTGAATAGGCTAAAGTCCCAAAAAGTCGGAGTGTTCCTTTAAGATCAATTTCCAAAAGATTATGTTTTTTATTCCTCTTTTTAGGCCACTTTAGCATGGGTGTCCTAACTTATTCACATTACTGTATGTATACTTGAAATATATATATTCAGGCCCTGAACCTTTGAACACTAGTGCGATTTGTTTTCTTTGAAATAAAAAGTGTCAAATCTAACAACATTTTGTTTTAATAGATCTGTTTATACTGAATTATCAATGATTTCCACCAATAGTAAAAAGGTTTGTCATAAAAAACAGTAAAGTCACCAGTATGTAGTTTTTAACCAAAATTTGGTAGTTCTTACAAAAATAATTTTGTTTGTGTTTTTATGATTCGTCACTAATGACTAGCAAATGTTGTGACTAATTAATTAATCTCAGAGCTTTGTGCTGGCCCTGACATAGCTCCTTCTCATCATCTACATTTTATCTTCTTCTTTTTTTTTTTGCCCTTGCATGAATACGATTTCATCACAGATGTGTTTTATGTTATCATACAGTGGTGGGAGTCAAACTCAATGTGTCGGCCTGGATGAACAGCTTCATAAACGCTACCACCAAGAAAAATGTAAGCAGAAATTACCCCGTTTCCTTATCGGCACATGTGGAAGCTGTTTAGTCACAAACGCAGCCTCTCTAGATGGGCCAATATTGCTGTCTGAGAGCGGAGATGAATTGACTCGCTCCAATAGTCGTTGTTAAAGGCTTGTTTCATGAATTCTCAGTTCTCTCCTCACATAATTTCCTCTCCGCAGTGCAAGGATGAGATCTGCGGGTGCCTCAGGAATGATAAGGTAGGGTGCTGACTGCTTCATGCTGCTCTGACCTCTGTAGTCACTTATCTGAAGCTGCTTTCACTCTCGCTTTCTGATGAATGGCTGTTTTTACTCCTCAGCAAGTGGACTGTGTGATTCTGGATGATGGCGGCTTTCTGCTCATGTCCAATCAGGATGATTATATCACGCAGGTAGAATATATTTACAAGGCTAATTGAGTCTTTTTGCTATTTTAATGCCAGCTCCAGGAATACTGTATGTTAACAGTCACATAAAGAGTCTTTTTCATATATTCACTCTGATTTACAGATTGGTCAGTTCTTTGGTGAAGTGGACCCTGTTTTGATGATCACTCTGGTCAACTCTTCGCTGTTCTCTTTTAATAAAACCTACGACTACCAGTCCGTCTGTGACCCAGAGAGAGAAACTAAAGCTGCTGCAGGACCCCGTTCTATATACGTGGTAAAGAAGTTTATATTGGCAATTTCTTTAGAAAACAATCATGTGCTGTAGGGACTTCTGAAAGTCAAAAGTTTTGGTTGTTTGTATAACCTTTATTTAACCAGGAAAGAAGTGTGTCTGTATTAACTGTTGTAATCTATATTTGTGTGTTTGCTTTTGGCAGCCAACGATAGCAGATATGCTAACTGTAGGCTGGTGGGCCTCCACTGCAGTCTGGTAATAAGAAAATGAATGCATGCTAAAAAAAAAAAAAAAAAAAATAGACAGATGGAGGATAGAAGTGTGAGGTGGATGTTCACATTTGTTTGTCACTGTCTCCCTCTTAGGGCAATTTTGCAGCAGCTTCTTCTCAGTCTGACTCTCCCAAATGTCATGGGCACAGGTATGTTCAGTGTTTAAGTGGTGAAATTCTGGCTCATCTTTCTGCATTCGAGGAACTTTTGATATTTAAAAAAATATATATATTTACATTTATTCAGTATTTTCTAGTACAATGTATTGACAAAGTAACTTTGGTTCAGCACAGTATATAGTGTACACACACGAATATTTAACATTTATCCAAGTAGTGTATTTATACATACAGTACACTCACCTAAAGGATTATTAGGAACACCACAGCAATACTGTGTTTGACCCCCTTTTGCCTTCAGAACTGCCTTAATTCTACGTGGCATTGATTCAACAAAGTGCTGAAAGCATTATTTAGAGATGTTGGCCCATATTGATAGGATAGCACCTTGCAGTTGATGGAGATTTGTGGGATACACGTCCAGGGCACGAAGCTCCTTTTTCACCACATACCAAAGATGCTCTATTGGGTTGAGATCTAGTGACTGTTGGGTTGACTGTTGCCATTTTAGTACAGTGAACTCATTGTCATGTTCAAGAAACCAATTTGAAATGATTCGAGCTTTGTGGAATGGTGCATTTTCCTGCTGGAAGTAGCCATCAGAGGATGGGTACTTGGTGACAATAAAGGAAAGGACATGGTCAGAAACAATGCTCAGGTAGGCTGTGGCATTTAAATGATGTTCAATTGGCACTAAAGTGTGCCAAGAAAACACCCCCCACACCATTATACCACCAGCACCAGCCTGCACAGTGCTAACAAGGCATGATGGATCCATGTTCTCATTCTGTTTACACCAAGTTCTGACTATACCATCTGAATGTCTCAACAGAAATCGAGACTCATCAGACCAGGCAACATTTTTCCAGTCTTCAACTGTCCAATTTTGGTGAGGTCTTGCAAGTTGTAGCCTATCTGCCTCAAGGTTGTGCGTGTTGTGGCTTCACAAATGCTTTGCTGCATACCTCGGTTGTAACGAGTGGTTATTTCAGTCAAAGTTGCTTTTCTATCAGCTTGAATAAGTCGGCCCACACAAGGCATTTTCGCCCACAGGACTGCCGCATACTGGATGTTTTTTCCCTTTTCACACCATTCTTTGTAAACACTAGAAATGGTTGTGCGTGAAAATCCCAGTAACTGAGCAGATTGTGAAATACTCAGACCGGCCCGTCTGGCACCAACAACCATGCCACGCTCAAAATTGCCTAAATCACCTTTCTTTCCCATTGTGACATTCAGTTTGGAGTTCTGGAGATTGTCTTGACACCCCTAAATGTATTGAATCAACTGCAATGTGATTGGTTGATTAGATAGTTGCATTAATTAGATATCGAACAGGTGTTCCTAATGATCCTTTAGGTGAGTGTATATATATCACGTAACTTGTAGTCATGTAAAATCACATTTTAAGTTTTTTTTTTTTTTTTTCATGAAGCCTTACATTATCTTATTCTAAAAAAAATAAGTACTGTTTTTTTTTTTTGTTTGTTTGTTTTTTAAATTAAGTCATATGATAATAATCATTTGTTTTTTTGTTTTTTTCTAAAAACTGTCTTTTCCTGATGATGTCATTCAGGTGATGTCAATACACTTTTGACCCCTTCTAAAGCCATTACATAAAACATTCCCATCACAAGTCAAAACGCATTGATTAAATGAACTTCGATTGTACAAATGTAAATTGAATTCATGCAATGCAATTGAGTCAAAATCTAAATTGAACAAGCGTCCAAAATGTCATTTGTGAGTGTTCCTGATATGTAGGCTGCTGATCCTCATGCATGTTTTGATACTAAAATATGCGGATGGTGCGTTTGTGTGTTTTCAGCATACTCGGAGGATGACCTCTCGGATGCGTTCTCCAAAGAGAGCTGTATCACCGAACAGACTCAGTATTTCTTTGAGAACGAGAACAAATCTTTCTCTGGAGCTATGGACTGTGGAAACTGCTCCAGGTGAGGACTGTTTTTATGTTTGTACATGCATAAATCCATCCGCATTCCCTCCATCCGTGTGAGTGTGGGAGTGCGTGTGAGTATGTGCAGATGATGTCAGCGCTCTCTTTCTGTCTCTTCCTGGATAATTGCTCATCCCGGTAAGCCATCCCTCCAAGGATCGAGCAGCTCAGCTTTCCTTTCTCTTTTCCTCTCCGTCCCCTCATTCTCCAGATCCATCCGACGTCCAGCCGGCTGTAAATCCCGCTGGCCGTGCTGTTTAATGTAACACCGCTAAGGCAGAACGTGTTGGGGTGGGTGGGGGCGCTCGGCCTGACAGAAACTCTACGCCTTTTTTACGAGCCCCACGTGTAACTCTGCGTACGATAGTTTTTCTTCCATGTTAACTACTTTAGACATGTAAAGTTTAACAAGAGCCATAAAGAGAAATCCATTTGTGAGAGCTCAGGAGCTCAAGACCTGAGCTTCGGCATATGTAATTCAATCTCGCTCAGAGAGACATCAACACCAGATCAGTCTAAAGGAACGCATGTACTGATGAGAGAACTGCTGGAATTGCCAGCATAAGGATGGCTTAAACAGAACATCAAGGAGAATACAGCAAATTATACTTTTTTTCCATTATTAAAGTAATATTTCTTCAGATTTTTGCATTAGTTATCTGAGGTCTGCTTGTCCTCACTCAGCCCTACAGATTTTTTTTGGACAACTAACTCCTTTCAGAGGTTATTTAATGCCTCTGTTTTGTAACCCTAGTGTGCTGCCGTGCTGTCTACTCCCTACATAGGCTCTATTGGATCAATATTGAAATTTCAGCTTTCAGTACAGTACCATTTTCTGGTCCTGTTTTATCAATACTGAATTAACACCTTAGGCAACAAATAAACAGCTTTGACCGACTGGCGAACTACAATTCAGTAGATCTGATAATTTAATGTCAATAATTAATGATTCCTTTTTAAATAAATAAAAGGAAGTGTTTGGTTAGGTGTTGGTGTTGTGTTAGGTGTGTTGTTAGTTTAGGTGTGTGTTAGTGTTAGGTGTTGTGCTTCGACGATAATTAATCATTTCTTTTGTGAATCTACCATTCAAAAGTGGGATCAGTAACGTATTTATTTTTTTTTTATTTTTTTTACAGATAAATGTAAAAAAAAAAAGTTTTTCATAGAAGTCTGATCAAAAATACAGTAAAAACTGTAATATTGAGAAAATATTATTACTATTATTATTAAAATATTATAATCTTTTTTAAATAAATGTTGTTTTAAAATGTAATTTATTCCTATGATTGCAAAGATGAATTTTCCACATTATTACTCCAGTCTTCCGTGTCACATGAATCATGATCCACCAGACATTATTTCAATATGCTGATTTGCTCCTCAGGAAATATGTATTTATTACTAGCAGTGTTAAAACACAGTTGTGCTGCTTAACATTTTTTAAACCTTGTTACAATTGTCAGCATTCTTCATGGAAAGAATTCAAAAGAACTGTATTTATTTCTTCTTATTAATTGAAATATGTTATAACATTTTAATGCATCTTTTTAACTTTTGAATGGTAGTATTCTGGATTTGGTTTATAGATAAATTACAGAATCAAGCAATTTTGTCCAGTTTGTGTGTGTGACTTTCTTTGATGCACAAAAAATAATATATCAATAATGTTTCTACTCGTTTTGTCCATATAATGAAAGTCAATATGATCCAAAACAGCATTGCACCGCACTGACTTTCGTTATGTGGACAAAAACAGTTCAAAAACTTCTTCAAGAAGAAAGAATTCTTCAAAATGTCATATTTCATTGCTTCCCAGAGGAAAATCATACACATTTGATGCAACATGAAACTGGGAAAATTATGACAGAATGTTCAATTTTGGGTGAACTACCCCTTTAAAATGCCATCTAGGTTTGTAGTACTAGGTTTTGAAACACCGCTACAGTTTCTCACAGGATGTTTTTCACGGAGACCACATAAACCCACCTGAAACACTCCTCTGTGCTCTTATAACCTCTCATGCTCTCATGAATAAAGCATTCCTCAGAGGGCAGACAGATGTGAGCCACTGAACTTTAGGACTCCATGCTTCTCTGTGATCATCAAGCTCTCCATGTGTGTGTTGGCATGTGTGTTTGTGTGAGCGTGACCCCGATGGCCGCTATGATCTGAGGCTCGTTATGCACCGCCGAGCATGCTGGGTAGCAGTAAACAGCCTGTGATTACTGAGAGAGCAGGTGATGTGTAACACAGAGCTTTAACGCACACATCCCTATATATACGTTTACATGTGCACAGGCCGGTGCAAAAACCTGTGTCACTCTGTTTTAAGGGGAGGAGGGGAGCCATAAAAGAGAACAAGAGACTGCTATAAAGAAAAGTCATGGCTAAAACTCGTTTGGTGATGACAGTACGTAACAAGCTGCCAACCGACGCAGATTTCCAATATAATACACTCATCTCTTGTTACACTTACTAAAGACTTTCACACATGTGGGGACGGTTTTGGATATGTAAGACATGTAAAATTGATTCCTGACAAAGAGCCTACGCTGACTTGTGCATAATTTTTTGAGTGTGTGCAGTGCCTTTTATACCTACTTGCTTATGTTTACTGTTCCTTCCGGTAAATGTCATACATGGGTGGTCTCTCTTATGCAAATGTCTGGTTAGTTTAGATAAGTATAAACCATGACTTACTATATCATATAATATAGTCATACAATATAATATGAAGAGTTCAGATGCAAAACCCTCTAAATGCCATTTGAAATTTTCTTCTTTAATGATGATTTTTATCAAACTTGTATATTTAAGTTCAGCAATTTCACTTAAATGGCAATGATAATTACCTATTAATAGTTAGTTAAAGGAGCAATGTGTGATTTTTAGCGACATCTAGTGGTTCGGTTGCGAGTTTGCACCAGGTTTGCACTAAGGGCTCAGCCCACTGCTCACCCCTCCCTTTCGAAGAAGCTACGGTTGCTAAAACGGGACAAACATCTCGTCGGCTGAGACAGCAGAGAATAGTCAGAGTAAGCCAAGAGTGTGTAACATTGTCACTGTTTCTGTACCACAGTCCATTATAAACCACATCATGAATACTGTTTACAAAGCCATAGTCAGGTGAGGATCAAGGGTTTTAATATATAATTTAATAAAATAATATTAATCAGCTGATTGTCTCACAAACGCAACCAGCAGCACATTTATCCCCACATACTGTACAGCGAGGGAGCAGCTATATATTTTTTCTAACAGGGTAGTAATAGTTTAGCTGGCTAATATGAGCTGTTACTGTGGCTGAGATGGGACTCGTCCGCATGAGTCCAAAGGTCGGAACTGCGCGCGCTGTTACAATCATGTCATCTCCGCATCCCATAGATACTATTTACTACACACAATAGGCTTTTTTTCTCTGATTTTGAAAAATCTTCGCGATCGACTTTAGTGATAAAAGACTTTAGTAAAAGTCTCTATCGACGGGTTAGTGATTCCTGTAACGTACTGTTTTACGGTCAATGACATGAATACTAATCATCAGCTGTCTCACGAACGTAACAGCACATCTATCCCCAACATAACAAACCCATAACACAGCGAGGGAGAACTAAGTTACATGAAACAATCCCAACTACATATTTTACACCACTCACAAGGGAAAAGTCACTACTCACGGAGTGTAAGGCTACCTTCATAGAAGGGGATTCCCGCGGTTATGGAGCTATTAATGTCTCATTCTAAGGTAATAAAAACATTACGGTTAATTAAGTAAGTTCTTTATACACCACTGAAAACATAGTTATGGATGTCAAATTGCATTTCTGTTAATAGATACTCAACTTTGTTACACATTGCATCTTTAAGTGAAATTACTGAACTTAAATATACAAGTTTGATAAAAATCATCATTAAAGAAGAAAATTTCAAATGGCATTTAGAGGCTTTTGCATCTGAACTCTTCATATGTTCCTGTGAGAGCTGTGTTTGTGTCTTAATCTCTTTATTTATTTATTTATTTGTTTGTTTGTTTGTTTGTTTGTTTGTTTGTTTTTTAAGAATGTATCTGGCGGAGAAGCTCCCTAACACGAATTTGGTGTTTTTAATCTCTGATGCAAAGAGTTCCTGTCTCTCCTGCGATCCCAAACCACTGAGACAAGCCGAACAGCCCTGTATCCTTAAATGTATGCATTGTTTCCCAATGTCTTCGTTGACAGTACACCGCTGCTCATGTATTTCAAACTTCTATTTACCCCTAAGTGAAAAGTGAAAAAGAACTTTGCCGTGAGAATATCGGAGCCTTAGGACTGAGATAATTACATTTGTTTTGAAGTTCCAGCTATTTTTCTTATAGATTTGTTTCAGCTACTGGTCCTGACCCATGTGTGCTGGCCCAGAACCCTCGGTACAGAAAAGGACCGGACGTCTGCTTCGACAACAACATAGACGTATGTTTAAACCAAAAAATTCATCTTCATCATTCGCTACTTTTTTTTTCTCCTTTTTTAAGCTAATATTAATTTCCTTTCTGTCTGCACGTTGAATGCTCATTGGCTGCTCATCATGCCTGTCACTGCTAGGAGGAGCCTTTGTGTCGAATCAGTGGCTCCTCTTCTTTGACCTATTACCCATCCATCATTTTGCTCCTGCTTCTGCATTGTGTTTGATGGTCAGTTTCATCTCGTTTTGCTGTTTCCTCATTAAAACAGTGTGGAACAAAAGAGAAAAAAAAGGGCTTTATGTTCTCCACCCCATTGTAGCATTGCTAGACTTGCGCTAATATCTGCTTATCATATAAGGGTTAAAATGCCCTATATTGTTTACTCAATGCCTCAATATGGACTTTTAGGCAGGATGCCACTGCTTTCCTCCTGCTGTGAAAGAAGGAAGTGCATTTTCAGCTAGTTCCCTGAGAGATCTTCTGTGGAATAAACATAGGAAGCTCCAGATGGGTTTCCGTCCTTTTGACAGTAGCATTGATAATACGCCCATATTTCTCTCAAACCTGGGGCATCCCAGGACTTTCCTTGGCACGCCCTCCATGCACAGCATGCAAGCCTTGTTTCAGTAGACCAGCACGTAGAGTCAGTCAGAGTTGTGCATTATTTCAACAGCAGGACTTTTTGCATGCGTGCCATTGATTTGATTCATTCCCTCCTCAGTTCAGCCAAAACATGTTTTGATATTCACTTTTCATTACACAAAGACTGTGTTTTGATTGATTGAGTTGAATGCTTGATGGTTCTAGGTTTTACTTGGTTTCAATTTCTTTCAAGCTAGGATTATTATAGTCAACTAAAACCATAAAATAATTGTTACTTGAAATAAAATAAATGGTAACTGAAATAAGTATTAAAATGTAAATTTGTTTTATTTCTAAAAGTTGTTAAAGCAACATTTCTCATTTTTAACTCGATGTACTAAAATAAATAAAACTGAAATACACAAACAATAACTATATATATATATATATATATATATATATATATATATATATATATATATATATATGTGTGTGTGTATATATATATATTAAAAACAATAATGGATACACTTTTTTTTTAAGTTGTCTGTGTTACAATGTAATTATACATTTAAGTACCGAGTAATAATAATTAACTGCATGAATTTTATATAGGGTTAGGGTTTGGTTTGGTTTGGTTTGATTTAGGATTTGTTGTAAAATAAAGTGTTACCACAATAAAAATAATAATAATAGTTCAACATGTAAAATATATATATATGAAGAGTTCAGATGCAAAAGCCTCTAAGTGCCATTTGAAATTTTCTTCTAGAATGATAATTTTTATCAAGCTTGCATTTTTAACTTCAGTGATTTCAGTTAAATGGCAATGATAATTACCTATTAATTGTTATTTAAGTGAAATTACTGAAATTAAATATACAAGTTTGATAAAAATCATCATTAAAGAAGAAAATTTCAAATGGCATTTAGAGGCTTTTGCATCTGAACTCTTCATATATATATATATATATATATATATATATATATATATATATAAAATAGTATCTCGGTGGCAGTGTTTTCATCCAAAGTTGCACATTTAACTAATGTGCAAAATTGTAATATTGCAAGTTGAACTTATGATGAACATAACTTATGATACTCAAATAACACTGGACCAAGCTGGTAATTTTTGGTTAGTAACTAGTTAAAAATGTTCTAGGTGGTTGATTACCTGGGTACGGAGCCCCCATAGTCCCACAAAAAAAAAAAAAAAAAAAAAAATTGATACTATCTCGTGGCCTCAAGATACTAACTCGTGGCCTCAAGATAGTAACTTGTGGCCTCAAGATAGTAACTCGTGGCCTCAAGATACTAACTCGTGGCCTCAAGATAGTAACTTGTGGCCTCAAGATAGTAACTCGTGGCCTCAAGATACTAACTCGTGGCCTCAATATATTAACTCGTGGCCTCAATATATTAACTCGTGGCCTCAAGATGCTAACTCGTGGCCTCAAGATACTAACTCTAACTTGAGGCCACGAGTTACTATCTTGAGGCCGCGAGTTACTATCTTGAGGCCGCGAGTTAGTATCTTGAGGCCACGAGTTAGTATCTTGAGGCCACAAGTTACTATCTTGAGGCCACAAGATAGTTATAATTAATTTTTTTTGCCAAAGTGGGACTAGGGGGATCCGTACCTGGGCTCTCAACTGATGATATTCTTATTCTTTGTGTTGTTTTAATATTACTTTTGTCATTTATTATTAGTATTATTATTTTTATATTATTCAGATCAAATATTATTTCAGTGTTATTTAAATAACTAAAATAGTTTTTTAATAACAACACTGGTTACAGTTGGTATACCACCTTGAACCAGCAACAAACCAGATGCCATGTTTTAAAACTCATTTAGAAACCCTTAACCATCTGACCTGAAATGACCCGACTATAGGATATTTTTATGTTTGTGTGACGCAATAAGTCCATAACATCTCTGTATGGATCTCCTAACAGGAGGACGCGACTGACTGTGGTGGAGGCTGCAGTTTGAGTCCGTCTCTCGGGATGATGTTGGCTCTTCAGCTCCTTCTACTCTGGCTGCTGACTGGAACAAGAACATATTTGTCCTGACCAGAGCGAATCTACAGACTAGAAAAAAACAACTACTGACTGAACTACTTACTATACAGACCACAAAATAACCACACTTCGACTATACAATCTAAGACTGTCCGTTAGTCAACCCAAAACAATTTGACTAACGCAGATACAGAACTACTGTAAAATTGACACGGCTCATCAACTCACTGCCAAATCTTGTCCTCTCAGACCAACTAGAAACGGAAACACGGTCAGACACGAGAGACAGATACTGTATATGCTCTTATTTTATTCTATTTTATTTTTTCTTGACCTCGCAACAGAAGCCACATTATGATCACACAAATGTTTCATGCAAAATGTTTAGTGCCACAAACAGGCTTTAATAATGTGTAAACAATGTGGTCAGAGACGGCTCGAGCACCAGCCTGGATCTGAAGCATGATTTAATGGTACATGGAAGACTGTTCAACTCTGGAGCTCATTATGAATTCAGCTCGAAGTGAGCTTTGCACCAGTAGTAGGTCAGTGATGTCACACTCAAGCCCTTTAGGCCCATAGAGGGCTGTTTTTCTTGTTTTATGTTCTTTGATTTCTTTGCTATGTGCAGTAAGGGAAATCTCATGAAGACATTTGTTGGTCACATTTCACCCCTCCCCCCAAAAAATAAATCTACAAAATAAGTATATAAATAAACATGGTGTGTATATATATATATATATATATATATATATATATATACACACAAATACAATTTAGCTTTACACATTTAAGTTTAATAATTAATTTATTAATTATTATTAAAATGTATTAATTTTACATTACAGTAATGAGAATAAGTAGCGAGAATTTACCATTATGAAAATCATTTATACAAAAAAATTTCAGATTTTTTTTATTTTTTATCATGGGATGGTACAGTATATGACCTGGTAATTTCTTTGCAGTTTTTGTTAGATTTACCCAGCATGATTTTTAATTTGTGCAAATTGTATTGTTCTTTTTCCTAGGTCGTTTGGCTTAATTCTTTTGTTGGCAATTTTCTAAGAGATCACCAGATAGCTTTATCTTTAAAGATATTTAAAAAAAACAAAAAAAAAAAAAAAACTGAAAGCATCTGATATAATCATTGGAGAAAAAGTGTCATGTTGAATGTCATGATTCACTACGGAAAGATTAATTGTGCGATCAAACCACACTTGAGCAGTGCATCATCTGATGCGAAATGCAGACCGCACTAAAAGACTGAACAGGCTCCAATAAGGGTACCAAATCCTTTTTTTGTTGTGTCAAAAGTCACACGCTCGCGTCCAAGGGTCCAGAGCATGTTGAATGTGCTTTGTTACCCTCCCCATCCTGTCTTCTGGGCCCCCCTATCAAACGATTGTGTGTTTTACTGTATGTCATCCAGATACTTCATCTGTCAGATTTTGTTCCAGCATGACAGACATGATATCACAAGCGTGTCAGATATTACATCCACATGTTGAACCACTATGCGAAAACACAGCACATGACAGGTTATAAAAATGTTAAACCCTGGAGAAATGTGCGTTTAAGATGGCTGAATGTATGTTTATTTTATTTATTTATTTAGCTTTACGATAAAAAGTCCATGTATGAGATTAGGTGATATCAATCAAAACTATTGCCAACAGGGAACATTTCCATGTGTTCCTTTTGAATGTTCTGAACGAAAAATGAAATGCTTATCCATCCTTATCCAAAGGCCAAGTATCCAGGAATAAAATAACACGCTTATCTCTTCGTTTCAGAGGTGTTTTAACATTTTTGACGTCTATTTTTAAAATATAAACATACACTCAGTGTTTGCATGAGTATGGAGCTTAAATAGATTTTTTTTTTATTTCTTTGTTCTAGCCTTTATGATGAGGAGGCTGTTAAAGTGACGTAATTCTACAGTGATAATATTAAGTGCAACTGAATTTAAAGGCGGAAGGTTTAATGTTGTGGTGATTTCCAAATGAGAATGAAATATTATAAAACGCACGAGATAGATCTTAATAAAGTGTGTGTTTAGTTTACTGGATGTTCGCGAAATATCGCTCGCACCTGTGAGTCCACGTCAGACTTTTTCCTTCGGAATGAGATTAATTTTTCTTTCTGTCTTCACTGATGTAGCATTGAGTTACAGACCGAAATATGCAGTGCATTTATGAATCATTACAGACGTTTTGGACCCCTCGGAGGGTTTCCGTGGTCTGGATTTCTCATCTCAGGCCTGAGGTGGAGGCCATAGGATGTAACATTTAAATACCTCACCAAACGACGTTGCGAGATGTGATTTGATCCAAGAGAGCTATAGTAACTCCCCTCTTTACAAACTAAACCATGTTTAAAACGCCAGTGAAATATACACAAACCCCGCAGAGGCCGTTTGAACGCAAATTGATCCCATGCCATGGCCGATGAAGAACGTCCGCAAAACATGAGACAGGTTAATGACATGATTATGTTAAAACTAAAAACTCAAAATCTGGCAGTGCCTACATGGTTAGTCAAGAAGAGCGAATTACTTAAAAGTAGCATTCAGCTGGGAATTTTATTGGCTTGCTGCAAAAAAAAAAGTGTTTTCATATGTTCTCCATCATGGTGGAGTTCAAGAAGCTGATTTTTTAAACTTTTAATATTACAAAAAACAAAAAAAAAAGAAAATTGCTTCACTCTTAAAAATAAAGGTTCCAAAACGTAGAACCATCATTCTTCGTTCACCAAAGAATCAGAATCAGAAACAGTTTTTTTTTTTTTTTTCTTGGAGTGAAGAACTAAAAAAATCTAAGTGAAAAAAATCTAAAAAACCTTTTTTCCACTATAAAGAACCTTACATGAAATGGAAAAGGTTCCATGAATGTAAAAGGTTCTTCATGGAACCATTGATGCCAATAACCTTTATTTTTTAGACTGTTTTGTGGATCCATTATAAAAAAAAAAAGTAGTGGAAACCAGACACTCCAAAGTCCAAATGAAAATCTGTTTTAATAAAAAAAATCATTCCACTTTACATAAGAGGGGATAGACAATTGAAGTGTATTCAGGTTTGCACGGTGCTCCCGCGATGCTCTTTGACATTTCGACCCTCGCATGAAATGTTAGACATAGACATGCCCCCCCCTCATGTAAAGAGGAATCGGTTGTGTGTACTGTTTTCTGAATGCTCCTCTCAGCTGCTGTGCTGTCACATAGGGCTACCTTGTGTCTGTCTGTGCTACTGAACGTATTTACTGGTGTTGGTGCTCAGTGTGCCGGAAAGTTTTCTCTGAGGTTGCGCTTCTTTTCCTGAGTGTGTATGGAAGTCAGTCTTTGATTTGTGTTTTCAATGGTGTGGAAGGGCGTGGTATGTGCCTCCAAATCCCTGCCCACCTCACTTGGTTGTGCTTACAATTTCTTTTGTGGAAACTGACACGCCTGAAACAATTTTGTATACATTTGTACAATAATGTTGTTCAACAAAATAAAACAAGAATGTTTGTAAAGTTTACAAATGTGTAATTCTTGTGCAAATACAATATATTCACAATAAAAGTGTATCATTACTACCTCTGGGTTTAGTATTGTATTTTTTTTTTTTTTTTTTTTTTTTTTTAGAGTATAAGCCCTTTGATGCGCAAGCTATGGATACCCCTTCTAATGCATAGACCCCTTCTGCCTAAGTTTTGTGTTAATACATCAAGTTTTCACACATGGTACTGAAATGACCCATCTATGCAAGTGTGATAAAACAAAAGAATGAAGAAAACTTTTTGTTAAAATAGATCTATCTATCTATCGATCTATCTATCTATCTATCTATCTATCTATCTATCTATCTATCTATCTATCTATCTATCTATCTATCTCTCTCTCTCTCTCTCTCTCTCTCTCTCTCTCTCTCTCTCTCTCTCTCTCTCTCTCTATATATATATATATATATATATATATATATATATATATATGTGTAAATATTTATTAAACTATTTTTCAGGGAATACTTCAAGGACCTAAAAGTGACATTCAACAACACCCAGTTCCTGATGGACTTCAATGAGTACATTGACAGAAAAACACCAAATGATCCTATGTGTGAGTCTATCTATCCATCTATCTATCTATCTATCTATCTATCTATCTATCTATCTATCTATCTATCTATCTATCTATCTATCTATCTATCTATCTATCTATCTATCTATCTATCTATCTACAAAAGCAGGCGTGTTGAATTGTGAAATGTGTGGCAGGTTATTAGTTCTCTTACGAGAGGTTCTCTCGTATTGCGTAAGCTAGCTTACGCTACGGGAAAGATTCATCTTTGCTGAGAAGTTGAAGCCAAAAATTATTCCATAATTTTGTAATCATTGTCAACGCAGTCTCTTCTGAGGCAGACCATGAGCGGGCTAGCTAGCGGCTCATTGGTTCGCTCAGAGAGAATGCACGAACCTATGGGAGAGCGGCGCTGAGTCCGCGGCCAATGAGCGGACGGCGCTCGCTTACTGCGTCACAGCCCGCCAAAAGGGGCGTGGCTACAGTGTATAAAGGTCGCTCTCCCAGCTCGTTCGTTGATTCTTGTTCATTCAGCGAGCTACACGCATCCGCTGTTCTGGGAAGAAGCCGCCGTCGTTGAGAAGGCACCGTCTAGCGAGCTCCGGAGTCTGAGGAAGCCGGCCGTCTGCCACCTTCAGCCGCCCAGCAAGCTAGCGCCATCCGACGCGTATCCTTTCTTATTATTCCTGCTAAAAGAGCACGAGCGTCTTTTTAAAGATGCCTCGTAATTCCTGCGGCTCTTGCCGCTCTCCGCTCGAGGATGGAGACCGCCACCCCATCTGCGCTCTCTGCCTCGGAGTGGAACACGCAGAACTCGCCCTCGCCAACGGAGGATGCGACCACTGCGAGGACCTGCCGCTGTCAACCCTGCGGGCTCGACTACAGGCGGTCAAAACCGCTCCAGCGCCGCCTCTAACTTCGCCGCGGAAGAAGAAACGCCGCTCCCAGAGGCCGCCGGAGCCCTCTGCGGATCCATGTGGGCCGCCGCCGCCGCCCACCGACCGCTCTCCCTCTCCGCCCCTGCCGGACTTACAGTTGCCGCCGAGTGGCCGCTCTGTCGCCTCCGAGGACACCGCGGATGAGAAGGACTCTTGTTCGCTGCACGCTTCGGACAGCGAGGATTGGTCGTCGATCGGCTCATCGACTAGAGAGTCTGCGGGGACCCGCGCCGGCATCGAGGAGGAACTAACGCGCCTCCTTTCTCAGGCCGTTAGCCGCCTGGGTCTCGAGTGGTCTCCTCCCCCTGAGCAACCACCGAACCGCATGGATGGAAAGTTCCTGCACCGGCGCCCGGCCCCCGCTTGCAGCCGGGCTGCACCCTTCCTGCCTGAGCTTCACAGCGAGCTCACGAAGTCCTGGAATGCTCCTCTCTCGGCTCGTAATCGCTCTGATGTGTCCGCTTCGCTGCGCTCAGTGGACGGAGCTGCCGAGAAGGGTTATACTGCCATGCCGCCCGTCGAGGACTCGGTCGCCGCTCATCTCTGCCCGCCCTCTGCTAGATGGCGGTCTGCTCATACGCTTCCCTCAAAAGCGTGCAGAGCGACCTCCAACTTTCATGCCCGCGCCTATTCCGCCGCCGGTCAGGCCGCTTCAGCGCTGCATTCGATGTCTGTCCTCCAGGTGCTCCAGAGCGACATCTTGTGTGAAATGGCGAGCAGCGGGAGGCAACCGCTCGTCCTTTCGGATCTAAGAAGCGCTACGGATCTTTCCCTTCGCGCCACTAAAGCCGCCGCACAAGCTCTAGGGAGATGCATGGCCGCCCTCTGTGTCGCCGAGAGACACTTATGGCTCACGCTGACCGACATGGGAGAGTCAGAACGTGCCGCGTTCCTCAACGCGCCTATTTCCCCCACCGGGCTCTTCGGATCCGCCGTCACGGGCATCGTTGACCGCTTCTCCGAAGTTCAAAAAGCGACTCAGGCCATGAACTTGTTCCTGCCCCGCCGCTCGAGTTCTTCGACGGGCCGTTCTCACGAGCCGCCTGCCAGAACCACACAGCAGCGCCCGCCTCAGCAAGCTCAGCAGCCCCAGCGTAGACAGGGCGGCCGCCCTCGCTCTCGCTCAGACAGCCGCCGCAGACAGCCTCCGCCCCGGGGGCCTCGACCCAAGATCACGCTGAAGCCTGATCAACAGAAGTCTGCCTAGCACAGCTGAGAAAAAGACGGTTTTCTCCCGCTGCGGCCGGACCGCCGTCAAAGCTTCGCCCACTGTTAGTCCCCGTCTCACCGCTGACTACAGTAGTGTTTACCGCCACAAACAAGCCGGTTTCCCTGCCCGCTTGCGAGCGACTAAAAGCCGTTTTCACGGCTACCCAGAGAGTTCACAAAAAGAGCATAAAAGCCTCAAGTGTAAAAAATGTGCCCACAACCTTGTGCTCACGTACACACACAAGCACTTTATGCCCAGGGTCTCTCGCAGAGCCCATTCTCACGGAGCGTGCACTTTCCGCTCCAGCAGCAGAGAACATAAGCACGCCCACGAGCCCGTGCGCGTGTCCCCCCTCTGCCCGCTCTGTCTCAAGGCCCTTAAACTCCTCTCTGAGTGTAAGTCCCGTTGCCTTCCACATTATAAGCGAGCCCACACCCAGTGTCCAGCCCGCAATGTGCAGCAATCAGGGCGAAATCGCCATTCAACCACTAGCCGTATGCTACAAAGCGTGGGAAGCCATCCCCGGCATCTCCCCGTGGGTTTTAAGCATAATAAAGAATGGTTATCGATTACAGTTTCGTCGCCGCCCGCCACGCTCGCGCGTGCGGCTCGAATCCACTGTCAGCCCGGCTGCTATGAACACGCTTCGCTTAGAAATAGCCAAGCTACTGCAGAAGGGCGCTATAGAGAGAGTCCCGCCATCTATGACCGAGTCGGGGTTTTACGGCCGTTATTTTCTGGTTCCCAAGAAAGACGGCGGCCTCAGGCCGATCTTAGATCTCAGGGCTTTGAACAAAGCGCTCATGAAGAGACCGTTCAAAATGCTCACAGTCAGGAAACTCCTCGCGCACGTCCGCCAGGGGGACTGGTTCATCTCTCTAGACCTGAAAGACGCCTATTTTCAGATCCAGATAAACCCTCATCACAGGCCATTCCTACGTTTCGCCTTCGAGGGCCAAGTTTACCAGTATGCCGTTCTCCCGTTCGGCCTATCCTTAGCACCCCGTACGTTCACGAAGTGCATGGATACAGCGCTCGCCCCCCTGCGAAGTCAGGGGCTGCGCATACTGAATTATCTGGACGACTGGCTGATTCTAGCAGATTCCCAGACGGAGCTGCTGTCGCACCGCACGGTTCTCCTCAACCATCTGGAAGCGCTGGGACTCTCTGTCAACTGGACAAAGAGCTCTCTCCAGCCCAGTCAAACTATTTCGTTCCTCGGAATAGATTTGAACTCTATCACGATGACGGCTCGCTTATCCACACAGCGCGCGCGCCGTGTTCAGCGCCTAGCCGCCTCGTTTCAGATGGGTACCCTTACATCCCTGAAATCGCTTCAGAGGATGCTGGGTCATATGGCTTCAGCCTCCGCTGCGCTACAGCTGGGTCTCCTGCACATGCGCCCCCTTCAATTCTGGTTAAAGAGCCGCGTATCCCACCACGAGTGGACGACGGGCCGCCAGATGATCAGGATTACTCAGACTTGTATCACTGCACTGCAGCCATGGGCAGCAAGCGAGTGGTTTCAGAGGGGCGTTACTATGGGAACATTCTCTCGCCGGAAAGTCATCTCGACAGACGCATCCAACTCGGGTTGGGGAGCGGTTTGCGAGGGCTCACCGGCCGCCGGCCAGTGGTCGAGCCACGAGAGTTCCTTACACATAAACTGTCTGGAAATGATCGCGGTCGAGAACGCGCTGCTGTGCTTCCTCCCGCGCATAAACGGTCACCACGTCCTGATTCGCTCCGACAATATGGCCGTGGTATCATACATCAACCGTCAGGGCGGCGTCAGATCCAAGAATCTCTTTCATCTGACA